TATTTAGCATTTATGAAAACTGTCTTTATGGGAAAGCTGAAGTAAGACCCACAGAATTTTCCTACAAAACCAAGGCCAGCTACTGCCCTTGACCCAACAATAGGCCATTGGCTGTGATGATGTGCTCAGTCTCAGGGAGACCCAGGGCAAAAGGTAGGAGGGTTTGCAAGAGGGAAATAACAGTGAGTGGCATCATCAGAGGTGGGCTTATCTGTGTGCTAGAAGTATCCCAGGATGGAAGAAAAGATATTTTGGAACAACATTCTTAAAGAAACAAGAGATAAGGAAAGACATACCTGGAAGAGAGCATCTAACTATGTGGCTTGGGATCTTGACCTACAATTTTAGGAGTGAATAAAACTCGGGGTCCTTGGTTAGAAGGGAAGGTGGCAAAGGATAGATTGTATTGCTCCCCACAGAGTGGCTCATCTTAGGGGAAATAGAGCCTGTGGAACTGGAGAGTGATGTTCCCTAGAACGGTGTTTCCCAAGCCTGCTTAAGAATCCCTTGGGGACCTTACTTAAAAAATAAATAAATAAACCAGATTGGTCACAAAGATTTGGTAATTCAGTAGTAGACTTTGTGATCTCAGAAATCCTCTCCGAGAAGGACTGGCCTGTCTTTAAAGGAAGGCTTCAGGGTGGGAACAGAGATAGCACCTGGGACCAAGAAGGTGTACTAAGCATCCTAAGAAGATGTGAGAGCCAGCAGAGTCAGGGAAGCCTTTGGTGAATTTAAGTGGTGGATGTGAAGAGAAGGAGCCAGCCTATGGTATGGAAATGTGGGTTTTGAAAGTTGAGAGCGGTCTGCAGCTAAGATGATGAGACAGATGTTTGCTTGAATCTTTTGAGATTCAGGGTCTGAGAGGGTTCTGTTCTCACATCACTTTCTCATCACTGGGGGCTGCCCTAGCCTCCAATCTTTGCCCTTCGAGAACACTAGGTGGTGTTGGTGGTGGTGGTGGTAAATATGATAATGATAACTATAAATCAGGGGGCTCATATTCATCAGAAAGTTTTGGTGAGCTCAGAACCTCTTCCTCCCAGTGCCTATGCCTGCTTCTTATCTTCTGGAACCCTTTCATGGTGAAGGACCATCTTATCATCTCCATCCCCCCAGCTAGAAGCCAGAAGATCGTCTCACACTCTCCATCACTAACTCTTTACTTGGCCCCCATCCTGTGAATTCTACCTCTTCACAAAACCTTCAACTACTTCTCTCTACCTAGTTCCTACTGTTGTCACCTTAAGGCAGGTGTCACCAGCATCGTTTCTTGCCTGGATCACTGCAGGTGGCCACCCCATCTATAGTCCCACTGCCTCTAGTCCATCCTCTCCACAGCTGAGTGACTTCTAAAATGCAAATCTGAACATGTCCCTTACTTTCCTGCTTAAATAATCTTTCAGTGGACCCCGGTAACCAACAGGATAAAGTCTGAGCTGCTGAACATATAACACAGAATCTTTTGTGCTCTGGAAACCCTCATTCCAACCCCTGCCTCTCCAGGCTCATTACCTTGTGTGCCATTCCATTGCCCACCAAGCTTGTGCTCAGTGGGGCCCTACCACAGTAAAATGCTAGAAGTTCCTTAACCTGGCTGTGCCCTTCCCCTTCTGCTTCCCTGCTGTGATCCAAAGCACAGTGAGGGCAAAGATGATATCTCTCCCAGAAACACAGCACCTTCAACACACCATAGGATGCCTGCACGGCCCCCCCCCCCCCCCCCCCCCCCGCCCCAGCAGCCTTCATTAAACTTTGTGGAATGGATGGATGGGTGAATGAAAGATGGGCGTTTCTGTTGGTCCTTTATATGTTATTCCAGGCCTTTCCTGTGTAGTCGGTTCTCTGTCTTTCAAAATTCAGCTCAGTCATTACTTCTTGAAGGAGGCCCCCACTGATGCCTGCCTGCCCACCGTTGAGTTAGAAGCTGTTCCTGTGTGTGTGCCCAGAGCTTCTTTGTTCACTCCTGTCATTCAGGGCGTCCATTGTAGGAGCTTGGTGTGGGGCTGACTCACTCAAGTGTGAGCCTTCCAGGACAGGGACTGTGTGATGTTTAGTTTCTCTCTCCAGTGACAGGCACACAGCAGGTGCTCAGTGAAAGTTTGAAGAACTGGCTTAATGAGTGAGTGAGCTCTGCTCATCGCTGCTCTTGGTGTCATCAGATGGCTGTTGGTTTGCTCTTGCCAGAAGCTAGCCACATTATGTATGCTCAGAAAGATTCACAAAGGGCTGGAGGTCACTCCCAAGTGTGATGCTTGTCCTGCTTCTTGGAGGGGGCCGTTTCTGCCTTTGGGGCATGAACTCATTAAAAGGACCTTGAGGCTGGAGGACCCTGACTAGCCACCCTGCCCCTTACTCCCTGGCCTCATTTGTCCTCAGTGGCTGGTCTGGTACCTCTGTTCCCCTTGGCGTCATATTCCTAGTAGTCCGATACTTCGGTGAGGGTCTGTGAGGGTAAGCCTCCTTTGGAGGCCACAAGGTTCTGTGGATGTCAAAGCTCTGTCAGTGCAAGGGGGCATTAGTATTTCAAGTGGCAGAAGACAGCAGAGACAGGATAGATAGCACGCCTCGTCCAAGATGCCGCACTGCAGTCACTCCTCCAGGCCCTTAGATTAAACTTCTTAACCGAGGACTATAGTGCAAGACATTTTGAGATTGGGCTCTTTATGAAGACTAATATTGCTGTCATAAGGCTACTTTAGGAAAACTCTAGGGCACCCTTAACTGTGGCAGAAGGTTCCTCATTTAAACCATGAAGGTTAAACAGTAAAAACTAATTTTCTCTTCCCAGCATAGCCAGCACACTGCCAGGAAAGCATCACTCTGTTCTAGGAAAACAAGGGCACGCTCTTCCTCAGCCTTTTGGTGGGGAGAGTACATTTTCTGTTTGCAAAGACGTATCTTTTCCAATCAGCAGACTTCTTTTGGGAGAAATGAGCCCCCCGGTGACTATGCTTGGGAGGAGGAGACCAATGCACATCTTGGTAAAGTTCTTCACTGAGAAATTTCCAGAAGTGGTCGTGGGGTGGTGGTGGCTGATTTAGTTAGGAGGCAAACAAATTAGGAGGTTAAGAGGGAGGGTGCTGGGGTGTGGGCTGTGGATAGAATCTGTGTTGAGAAAACTTTGCTCTGGGTGAATTCTGTAAATCAATAACTTATATTAAGAAATAAAGAATTTCAGGGATCAAAAGGTAGTGTTGCAAATGAGTCAGAGATGGCTCTTCCTTTCAGGTTTAGTGGGCCCAGTGCCCCACCCGCCGGCTCCCCTTCCTGCTGCTAGCTGGGCCACTGGACCCACTGGACCCAGTCCTCCTCCCCTTGCGCCCCTCCCGCCATGGGGATGGTTAGGAGCTGCCCTTCCCCCTCACTAGTGCTCCTCTCTTGTCCTGGTGCCCTGGAAGACTGTGCTTCAAGGCACATGGCCTGAGAAGCACACACTCTGCTATACCCTTCATAACATGTATTTAGGGGACAGCACGCTCAATGGATCCTGCTCTTAAAGTTCTTTGCTTTGAGGTTATTTTGAACTGTTACCACAGACAGTTCATTAGGAACTACGGGGCCCCCCCTTCATCCAGGTGCCTATAAAGTGTTCCCCCATATCCTGTGGATTAGAAGGTCAGTGTGAGCTTTAGGGGAGGGAGGAAAGCAAGAGGCTGAGACATCTATATTAATGCTGTCTCTTTAGTTGTTGCACGACACCTGGGTATTCTCTCTGGGGCTGGGCATGCTTTCTGTGCCTTGTAAGGCAAGGATACCAGGCAAATAAAATCTTTCCAAATAAAGACGAGCTACTGATAAGACAGTAAGACGTCCCTCTGAGAGAGCACTTGGAGACCATGTCGGTATGAACCGGAGGGCAAGATACTGACTATAAGTAGCTTGTGTGGCTGGTAGACCTGTGGTGTCCCACAGTGGCCTCAGTGGTGGGTTTGGGGGCTCAGGGCGGGGAATAGCAAGGGAGCCTGAAGCAGTAACCAGGACATCTCACAGGGCCTTCTAAGCCCAGGTGAGGAATGTGGACTTCCTCCTGAAGCCTATGGGTGACTCCTGGAGGATTTTCAGAGAAGGACCAAGCTCCTCTGTGTATTTTCGGATGCTCCAGCAGCAATGGGTCAGTTTGAGGACAGCAAGAGACTGGGAGAGGAGGTAGGAGGCGATTATCATAATCCTAAGGAGAAATGATGAGAGCTTGAAGGAAGGCAGTTGTACTTGGCGGAGAGAGGAGGGGATGGCTCTTTGAGCTAAATGTTTATGTGGTGGAAGTCTCCAGGACTTCTCTGCAGGAATGGGAAACTGGCTATTCATTTTCAGAAACAACCCCTGTGTGGCATTCATGTGCTAACTCGGCTGATGAATACCCTATTCTTGTAACTTGGTTGGAGAAGAATTACGTGAAGGGTACCATTAAGATGTTAAAATGAATGCATTGCATATGTTAACAAGTGTGTGAACCCTGTATTATATCTGGCAAACGGGGTGTTAAATCCTCCTTCAACCAGACAGATGTCCCTGCAGCTGCTGTGGGTCCTGCAGAGGGAGGCAGCCACCTGAGACCCCAGCTATGAGCTGGTGCCAATGGTTTCCAAAGCATCTGGCTGTACAAATTCCTTCTTCTGTGCTCCGACTGACGGGCACCGCATGGATCACACAATTCACGTCCCAATGCACAGGTGGCATTTTCAGTCTCAGAAGCTCAACCTCCAGTAACTTGACCTTTTCGGGGAATTTTTACAGCTAAGAATGTCCTCCGTGGGAGCTTCAATCAACTTCTGTCCTTTCGTAAGATACGAAAACACTGCCATCGAGCAAATAAGACCATTTTAATAACATTCACTCTTGAATTGGAATGCTATCAAAGTCTTGTTTGGGGCAGTGGTCCAACTGAGTTTGCAAAAGCTTAACATTTGCTGGAAATGTTGAAATTACCTGGAGCAAAATTTTCATAACTCCACAAAGGAGCTGAAAATACTCATAGGTGTTTGTATTTATTCTTATAGAGTACAATCTCTCCTAAGTGGCTTTGATTTATCAAGATTGAGCCAGTTCTGAGAGGTCTCCCACCTCCCTATGTTTGGCGAAAGACCCTAAAATATTTTAGAAGATGTTTGAAAGAGCCTGCGCCAACAGACTGAAGACCCAGTCTGCACTCTTCAAATTTATCCTACCACACTCTGGGTATTGTTCTTCTTGGATGTTGAGTTCGGGAGAAGTCGAAAAGAAGCAATCCTAGACACCACAGTTACACAATAGCAAAATCGATCTTTTGTGTGCTTTCTTTCCTGGTGGAGGAATTGTGAAATCACAACATTCTTCTATGAGTGAAATAAAAGTCGAAATTAAAAAAAAAATTTGTATCGGTTGTTTTCTTGTCTGTTCAGATGTACTCTGACAGCAAAGATGAAACATTAGTGCAGTCTCAAAAGGAAAATACCACAATGAGAAGATTAAAAAATGTTGTGAAATTTCCTCAGCTGTATTGTTTTGAGACTTTGGAGTGGGGGCGATTGCACGATCAGGTCTGCAAAGCCTGGCTGTGGCGTCCCAGGCTTGTCAGTGTTTTGGATAGCGTTCACTAGGTGGCAGTATGTCAGAGGGTTTCTTTTTTTCTTGAATTGGCAGCAATTTCTTTGGCTGCCTACCAGTAGTTCGCTTTTTCTGTTTGTTTTGAAGGGTTAAATGAAGCTATCATAATCGAGGCCCAAATTACGCTTATCTAAAAATGCATAATTCTGCTGAAAAGCTTACTTGTTACAGTGTGACCATAAAATCAATTCATTCATTCATGTGAGTTTTCTTAGTCACTTACAGGTAATGATCCTAGTTGTCGTGGGTAGTTTGTAGAAACCAGGGGGCAATTCTTTTTGTCCCCTGCAAGTAACAGATGCTAAGCATACTGTATTCTGAAAAGGCAGATCGCTGGTCTTCCTGAGGAGCAGACATCGGGTTCTCTTTTGTGGCTCTTAGGGAAGACCTTAGGGAGGACTCTCTGCCCAGATTTTTCACCTTGGAAAATGTTTCTGGCTCCTGCTAAAGGCTGTTTGCTGGGAGGTGTGTCAAAGCTACCTATCCTTCTTTATGATCGTGTAGACCACATATGCACAGGATGTTTATCCAGAGACTCAACTTTTTTTTTTTTTTAACTTACAGCTGGATTTAAAATACGATAAACACACATAATATTCTAAAAAAGATCTCTTTCATCTGAATAATTTGCTCATAGGAAAGGAGCTGGATATTCTTTGTAGTGTTTCCCCAAATTGGATGATCAGAACTTTTTGAATTCAAAGAAACCAGAAGCAATGTCTGAATGATAAGATCTGAGAATAAAGAACTGTACATTTTAGGACACTCTAATTAGTGTGACAGAAGTAGAGGACTAGAGTGGATGAAAATAAATGTAAATGCGCTGCTTAGAAAATAAATGGAATTGTCAGTTGGGGTGAAGTTTCAGTACTCGTTTAGAAGGGTTTCCTATAATCTTGAAAATTAAAAATATTAGGGGGGCATTCAAGAAAGATCCATGCTTAGCATATACATAGCCAAGTATCTGTTGTTTGAGAAAAATGACAAAACAGATTTGCTCCTGCCGTGTGGAGTGGACTCGGCAGAGTCACATTTGGAGATGTGATGCCCCTCATGCCCAGGGTCTGCAGGCCCTGGTTCGGGCACTTCACCAGCCAAGCCCTGAACATGACTCAGCCAGTTCTGAGCCTGTTTGCTGAAGACCCTGGAAATTCGGAGACCATATTTCCTGATGTCAAACTCTTTTTTTGTCAGATTTTCCAGGCAACCTGCAGGGACTCAGCAGTCAGATCCCCAGTGAAGATAAGCCTCCTTTCAGACTTTCTACTCCAGGGAGGAAAAAAAACCCTAAGGATTTCTTGACAGGCATAGGGGAAGGAAAAAAAAAAAAAGATTTTTTTTTTTTTTTTTAAGATTTTATTTATTTGAGAGACAGAGAGCATGAGAGAGATCATGAGCAGGGGAGAGGGGCAGAGGGAGAAGCAGACTCCCCACTGAGCAGGGAGCCTGATGTGGAGCTCAGTCCCAGGACTCTGGGATCACGATCTGAGCTGAAGGCAGACGCTTAACTTACTGAACCACCCAGGTCCCAGGGAAAAAAGATCTTTTCCCCTCTCCCCACTTAGGTTCTCCAGTTGGGGTTTTGTAAATTAGACTGATAAAAGCAAGATTAATGAAAGAAAAGCATATGCATGTATTGAATGTATGTTTCCTAAAGAAATGAAGACCTGAAGAAATGGTTAGCCTGACTGGTTTTTATTTTATTTTTTTTAAAAGATTTTATTTATTTACGACAGAGAGAGACATAGCGAGAGAGGGAACATAAGCAGGGGGAGAGGGAGAGGGAGAAGCAGGCTTCCCGCTGAGCAGGGAGCCCGATGCGGGGCTCGATCCCAGGACCC